TGTTTTTTTTTGGATTTGTATTTGTTGACGGACAATTTTCAGGACAATAACCGCAAATAAAGTTGATCTTCTCTATTGAAACGCAATTTTAAATTAGCAGCTGAATTTTAGCATTTTTTTTAGTCCATATTTTAATCACTGCTAAAAAGACTTGTACTTTGGTAAACCTGCAACAGCCTGTGAAATTTTTGCACAAAAATAACTACCATAAATGAAGATTATTTCACAAAGCTTTTAATGGTGAACATCAGATGTGCCTACAAACACTGAAGTAGCGAGACTCAGCATCTGAACTATTGTTCATCCACCAGCTCTTATCGTTTTCAGTAACTATCTTCATATCCACAGCTATATAATCAGTTTACTGTTTACTAAAACATTTATTTGTAATATTTACACTATCATCTAATTGTTTACAAACAAAATATTTGTTTTCTGATGTTACTGTCTTCTATAAAGAATTATATAATACAGATAAGCAGAGAAAAAACCTAACAATTTTGAAAAAATCATCAACTGTTTTGACATTCAAATGCATGTCTTCAATTTCAAAAAAATTTTTTATGCATCGCTCTAGCAGAAACATGGCAAAAATAACCTGCTAGGAAAACAACTAACACTTTCCACTATCATACTGATAAGCGACTATAAGTTTTTCTTTATTTCTGGTGCTCTAGTAAGTGTTAAAAGCCATAAGTAAATTGTAATACCAAACTGAACTCAATTTAATATCAACACTGATAGCAGACGTACAAAAAAAACCAATGTTAACGAAAAGATCATAAAAATTGAGCGTCATTTACAGGTAGCAAAAAGAAAAAAAAGAAAGATTAATATAACGTGTAAAAAGAAATTTTAATCCTTAAAAAACTCTGAGATAAAAGTCTCATTTCGCATAAACAGTTCTGAAAAAGGATAAGCAGTTGAATTTGAGCCAAATGAACGCAAAGCTGTTTTGAGCCATTAGTTAACCTATTAGAAAGTTTAAATTCATTACCTTCATTTTCTTATTTTGTCAAGCTTTATATTGCCTGACACTTGAAAAGCCTCTTCTATCACTTCGCATTTTCCTGTCCCCCTGAACGCTTTAAAAAGTAGCATAAAATAAAACAAAGGGAGACTGAACGTCAGTATTCATTCTTGGGCGTTGACCGAAACATTGGTGTTCGGTCTTATCCAGACAGATTTATTTGTGCCAAAATTAGTGCCTATCTTTTTCTGAACCGCAACCGAGGAAAATGTATGAAAAAAAGGTAATTCACCATCCAACACTGGCTACGCCACACAATGACCACTCCTTTAATACTACTTTCTGATTCATTCTAACTCTTCCGGACTGATAAGCACTTCATGTTAGTTACCTCAATATCACGGCAGTTCTTGATACTATACAGAAAATTAAGAATAACAGTAAGGAAACGAATAAATTTCGGTTTTTTTCATTCACACTTTTTACAGGACAATTGCAACAAATTAAGTACAGTGTTTAGTGACTAAAAGCAATTCAGATTAAGTTCAACTATTTCTTTCCGTGTATTATCAGCAAACATTATACGGCCAATTTCCCACGTAATTTTTGAACCCTAAATCATCGGTATTGTTTTCTAAAAGCTATTTCAACTTGTCTTCATGCCTCTTGTCTCTCTTCTCAGTCCCCTCTTTTGTTTTGCTATTCAGCTTTTTTAAAAAGCCCCTTCAAATTAAGAACACTTCTTTGCTGGATATTAAGTGATACGTGATTAATCAACGGTAGGAACGACGACAACAACGACCATAATGCAAAGTGCAACAAAAAAAAGCCATCAGTGAAAACAAAAACTGAGGAAAGTCAATGGAAAAGCCAAAACTGTATGATCGAAACCGATCGATATGTTCCACTGAACAGACAGAAGTTGCTTTGTTTGTTTCACCCACCACCAGTGTCATCACAACCATCGGCAGCACCAACAGCATCATCGTCGTCATCGTCACCATCAACGCCATCGCTATCGCTGCAGCAACATTAGGTAAACCAAGTTATTCTTCGAGGGGTACAAAACTGTTTGCTAATCTAATAATAGAGAGAAACAAGTTTGAATAAGAAGACGGATGAGAGAAGACGGCGACAAAAAAAGCTGAGGCGAGAGGGCGGAATTGAGTGGGACCAGTGAAAAACGTCAACTAGAAAAAAGGGACAAAGATGCATCAAAAGCAACTCTTTCATTGACCGAACTTGTATAGATAGGTCTGAACAAGCTATTTCACTTCCCCAAACAATCTTCAAAAGGTTTTTTAGTATTTTTTCTTATTTTAGTGCTTCATTTATGCGTTTATGTGTGATATGCGTAAATTTGGCAGTGTATTGATACAAAGAAATTTTTTTCTTCACTTTTTGCTTCTTTCTGACAAAAAAAAGGAAATTAAAAGATAACTTTTTTTTTACCAATTTTTATTCTTTAGTTTTGTTTTTGAATCCTCTAAAGATATGGAAAAAGATCAAGAAAAATCAAAACTTTACAAAATCAAACGCTTTCTGGAAAAACAAGAACAGCAACAGTAGCGGCTTTAACAACAACTACATCAGATTCACCAAATGGGTTTCTCAGTGCTCCTTTTGGACAACCATTATACAGTTTATAAATTAAAAACCTAGCGCTTACTCACTCGTGTAATTTGACCAAAACGAAATAACAGTTGTTATATAGAATAAAACAATAACAACCACAAGGAGATCAACTGTTGACTATGGCTTCATTACAACTATTGTTTCATCAGTTATACCATACCGAACGATAAGACAATTATTTGTCGGTATAAAGCTGTTTAAATGCCTGTAAGCTGGATTATTTGGCACCGATAACTTATAACCATAAAGAGCTATTTACAACGTTCTTATAATTGTAGTTTCTTCTCTTTTTCCGTTTCCTGTCTCCCTCTCTCTTATTTTTCTTCAAAGGGCAACTGGAGTATATGAAAGCTGTCCAAAAACAAGCTTTCTAATCAGGCTTAGGAGTCCCAAACAGCTTCTGCACTACAGTTTCTCCGCGTTCTCGTACATTGATGAGGTGGGACAGATGTTAACTGGACACTTTCTTTTATAAAGTTTGTGTGATGAAAAAGGCCTATCAATTGCTCCTCCAGCTGTACGGCATTAATTTGGGTATTCCACTATTCTTTATCCATGCACTCTTCACTGGAAAATATAATAAGAAACGCAGTTGAATTATAATCAATTAGAATTTTCTTATTTTTGTTAACAACCTTACTTTTTACCCTCTAAAAAAATTTCTTTTTACAATGGTTTTATTTTAATTTAGTTTAAATATAACATAGGTTTAACATTTTTGCAAGAATTTGTTCATTACAAAAGAATTTTTTTAGAACAAATGATCATTTGACGGTTTTTTCAGCATATTTTTAGTTAAATCAACAAGACGACTTCGCCATTGACACCGAAGTCGACGGCAACGATGACGACAACGACGACGACGATAACCAAGAAGCATTGTTGTTGAACGGTACCCTCCGTAACGCTGTCATATAACAATGAAAACTTTATATGCAAAAATTTTGTACATTCCAAAGCCAATGAAGGTGTCATCAGTATACATCATCGAACCACTGAACGATTACATAAAATTCATAAACGTTTAAAAAACGTTTAATCACTTACGTAATAAGCTCTATTAGATTTGCTGTTTTTTATCACTAAGCATTTTTAAAAAAACGACTTAGTCATTAACTTCTGAGATTTCATATTAAAAAAACACACCGTTTTTCCTGTTCGTTTTTTACGATGTTCTCTTATACGCCCAATTTGAATAGTCAAAAGATACAACAACAATAATATACCCTATTTTCACTAGTCATAGAATGAAGTCAGATTATAGCAAACAAGAAATTTTGAATAAAATTGACTAGGCTATTAAGAAAAGAAAAAAAAAACACCTTAGTCATATGCATTAAAACTGACGTCAACCTTTTAACTGCATTAGTCACTATTGCAGTAAAACGTCAAGGTGCATGATTACAGGTTTGAACAATTTCGTATCAAAACTTAGTTGATATAAGTGATAAATATTTTACAATGAATGACATCACTGTTTGCTTTAGACTATCCTTTTTTCGGAAAAAAGGACACCGCGAAACGTGTAAGTGTACGGCAGTTTACTGATGTGCGTTGTTTAATTGTTACGTGCCGGCAGCTTCATATTTCATAAGCAATGATTAGACAGTTGGAGCTAAGACTTTAGAATCATTTCACAGATCTGTCAATAGATGAAAATCAAAAACAAACCTTATTTGTAATTGCAGCAACAGTTTGTAACACTTTTTTTTTTCATAAATATACAAAACAATACTATTCTAGTTGTTATGATAGCTTGAGAAAAACAATGGTTAGTACAAAAAAAGAAAGGGAAAAAAAAGGAATACAGAAAATTAATCAAATTAACAAATAAACAGATAAAAACCTAAACCTATTTTTGAAGAGCAAAAAATTTACAGAAACAGAGGATAGACTACAACCAGTAAGACAAAATGAACTGAACTAAACTAAGAAAGTGGGAAGCAAAGTTTGCAGCTAAGATTAGTGAAGAGACGAAAGGTCACTGAGACTGAAAATCATCGATTTCTGAAACTGTTTTTTTTTCTCATCTCTGTTTACAAAATTACTTATCTATGCAAAGTAACTGTATAACTATTATCAAAATGTATATCATTAAAAAAACTTAACAATGAATATCAATTTACAAAATCAATTTATTCTTTTTACATATTTTGACATTTGTGATTATTATCATGAAAAACTTAATACTAATGTTTTCTCAACTATCTTTTTTGCAGTCACTCAGTCTCATCAAATATGCAAAAGATCAAACTACACCACAACAGTACAGGAAAACAACAATTTTAAATCTGCTCAAAAATCACTAACTTGACTACACCGCTGCGGTACTTTTATGTTGACAAAACTTCACTAAACTAGCAACCAAGCAAACAACTGTTGATTTCAAAAAATTTATCACGATTAAACATATTTTTTCAAAGTTTTCTGCTTTAGGGTTAGAAAACAAAAAAAAAAACGAAAAATTTTTCTGTTTAAGAGTGGCAATCTTTTTTTAAAATTAGTTAGGACAAAAAATTTTGTCTTATTTTTAGCAGTTGTTCCTTTAATTAATGTTCAATTACTGAACACTTTAAATATGTATTAGTATCTTTTTTCGCTGCAGATTACCTTATTACTTTAATAATCTTCAAATTTTGGAATCTCTACAGGCTCTTGAAAACCGTTTTTTGGAATTGACTGGCATATACAACAGATGTCTTAGAGTGACAGATGTTTTAAATTGCCTTCTAAACAGTTTGTCATTAAAGTTGTAAGTTGGATGAAATATCAGTTTTACTCATCTACTAAAACTTCCAGTCTTTTAGACGGTTATTGTTGGCACAACAAATTATCAGAAAAGAAAGTAAACCAAAAAAACTTTGGATATATAATTGCGCTACATTTTGGTTGCTCTCACAGTATTTTTCAGGTTAATTGTTTAATGAAATCTCAACAGTTTTGTTATCTTTGATTTTTTTGATCGAACTATATTAAAAGAAAAGAAAAAATTCTTTTGATTTTGATTTAAATATAAAAAAAACAGAGATGATTTTTTTTATTCAGTAGATATTGTAGGTTTAAAATTTTAAAAAATCTTTTTTTTTTTTTATCTGAACTATTTAGTCAATTAATCAAACCATAAAACGAAGAGAAAGACGCAATTTGAATAATTTGAAGAAGCCAAGCAAAATTTTAGTTCGGTGGCCTTCAAAAAATTATGTATAGTTAGTTTGTGGGTCAAAATTTCGGGTAAAAATTATCCCGTTGTCAATAACCTTTTTCACCTTTTTTTTTTTCTACACCAAATAGCAGCAATAGCAACAAAACATCGGCAACAGCAACAGAAACAATAGAAAGCAACGAACTGACACGACGTTCAGACGTTCTTAATTGCTGACTGAATCCTCTCGTATCAAATTGGTTTCCGCTATACCAAAGCACTTCAACAATCTGTTACTATTAATTTACAAGAGAAAAAAATGAATAAGCCTTTTTTTCCTATTATCTATCAAAATTATTGTCGATAATAGGATAGCTTGAATTCTTTTTTTTTTTT